TGAGATGACACATTTTGTTTACAAAACTATTATTATGAAACCATCTGATTTGGCTGTCACAGGTTAGAAGACAGAAGACATTAGTATCTTTTAATTGTAAGTAACACAGAAGATTCCTCACCTTCCTGAGTCCGATTCAAGAGGGTCATCATTTATTGAATCTGCGTTAAAATCCAAAGGCTCTGCATCCTGGAGGAGTTCTATTCTATCTCTTTCAGTCCTACCATTTGATCGCGTGTATTTTGATAGTGCTGAATAGGTAAAAGGAAGGAAAGACACTCATTTGCTCTATGAACATCTAGGAGTGTGTGGGGACATCAAACTTAAAAGATCCTAATAATAATTTGCTAGTAACTCATCCAAAGTGCATGTGCAATGATTTGGAATATATTAATATACCAAAATCTGGTACATTAAACCAAATCTGGCTACATGCTCACATTTGTAGTATTCCATTTTTGTATCTCCATAGCAATGTAACTACAACTTTTCTTTTGTTCCTCAAGTAGGATGAGATATGCTTTGCAAAGAATCAAAGACAATGGAAGTTATATGCAAACTTTACTTTTAAATCCATCAATCATCCATTCATCTTCCCAACTTCCCACTTTAACTAAGCTAGCTGGAGGGTTTTTTGGTTTGGTTTTGTTTGTTTTTAAAGAGGCAATCTCATGAATTAATGAAATACAGTTGTTTTGCAGTTTACTCTGCCACCTTCACTAGGCCAGTACCTACGGCTTGTTTTGGTGTTGGAATGCTATATATTCATATGGTTAACTTTACAATATAATTTCATATAATTTCAGTTGGTTTACCACTGACAATCTGGGTTTCCAACTTTGTAAAAGGAGGGAGAAATCTACCAGTTGTCTGAAAAGCATGTTCAAAGCTTCCCTCCTGCCACCCCTTTTTCCTTCTTTTTTTTGAGTTCATTTTTCACTTGTTGCTAGCTTACAAGAGCACATACAATACATAAAAAACATTAACACTGTGACAAACAGACTTTTTGGATGTTTAGTGCATCCACAAAAAAGCATTTTCCTAACAGACATTATTAAATGAACTTGTGTGATATGTTGTTTGCTTTACATTTGTTGGTAATTTATTTTGATTATTCCCTTATTCCAGTCTGAGAGTTCATTTGCAAGTACAAGAGGTAAATTTTAAGATTTAAAACTCCAAACTCCAAGGCATATCTTAAAGTCTCTTTGTTGACAACCGCTACTCTAATTGCAGTCATTTTATGCCCCAGAAGACCACCAAGTAATTGAGACTAGCCAGAATCTCCAACCTCAACAAGCTGAAGTGTTGAAGATGGGGAAAAAAATACATCACTGTGGCAAGATGGCACTGTACCATGGAAGGGAATAGATCAGTACATCATCTAAGACAAAAAGGGATCTATTTGAAGTTACTCACACAGCTGGTGCAGTGTAGACAAGCTATTAAAAAACCAAACCAAACCCCCTTGAAAACCCATAAAGCTTACGTCTATTAGTATTGGCCTCTGAGAAGCTGGATTCTTTTTGGTCCGTGTGGACAACTCTGTTTCTAGTGGAATCGTCTCTATTTCCATATCGCTCCTTCCATTCCTGGAAAAAAGACAAAAAAAAAAAAAAAGCAAGCACAAGCTGTGAGGAAAAAGTAACACAACAAAAGCATATGTAGGATCAAGAAATACTCCAAAACCACAAGTTAGAGCTAATTGATCAATCACATCAGACTATGAAAGTAATACTTTGAAAATGTTCCTGTTCAGTATTTTGATACAGGAATAATTTTTGTTTTGTTTTAAACTCCAGGTATTTCCCTTCACTAAACCAGTTACCATAACTGTTCTTTAGAAACAAGACTTGCAGAAAACTACATATTAAATCTGCACTGAAAGTTCACTCAACTGCTCTAAGTTTTGGTGGGAATGTTACTTTTTTTGATTTCTACTTCCATCTAGTGGTGGAATGGTAAAATAACCAGATGCAGATAGCACAAAATAACATTTGGACAGGCCATGTTTACTAAGCTTGTTCTGTTGTGTTTCCATTCCATCATGTTTTAGTATGTAGACATTTCTGTATGGAGTATAATGAAATATTAAAGAAGAAAACATCTCATGCTTTTATTAGGAAACAACTTCATGTCTCAATAGAAACTTTTCCAATTGCTCCAGTAAGTTTAATGTGTTTCAGCTTATGGACTGGTAGGAACTGGTACACTCAAGGTTACTGTGCTAATTTATGCCATATGTTACAGTACGAAGCTGTAGAAGGATCAAGCATTTAATTATGATCCAGTAAAAAATAACACTCTCAAAAGCCCAAAACGTTTCAAGAATGAATGTGCTACTGTATTTAATGCAAACTGAAAAAACGTCTGAAATGGAGTTGAATTGTTGCTTAATGACAGATCATTTCAGTGTACACCAAATGCATCATGCATTTGCCACTATTTGGCTTCACAATAAGTTCAAGTTCTAAAATTATGAGATGGGGGTGTGAGAGGATCAGGTCTATGCAGTATCGGCTGTCATCCAGAATTGATGTATCCCTGAATTTGAAAAGCCAAGAGGTTTTAGTCCCAGTATTATCTTGCCTTTCTGCAGAACTATTTTGCCCTTCCCTTTAGTCACTTCATTTTTTGCATGCATCCTTTTGATCTATCTCTTTGATTGTGACTTTTTATACTAAATTCCCAATGTTATAAATTAATGAAAAACTGAAGCTATACTTAACTGAAGCCTCTTAAAATGAAGCTGCCTAAATTATTTTGTTCAGATTATCTGCCTTCACAAATCTTTCAATACAGCATGCACTCAAAGTATGATATGAATCAAACATTCTGTTTTTACTCAGTGGTAACAGTATCAATTCTGTCTTAAATGTAATTCCCTCCTCTGAAATAAGAAAATAAAATCTGTGCCAATTACCTTCCAATGAGCACAGAAAGCAACAGGTAAGTTTGGGAAGAGCATACAGTCCCCATTTCGGTGAATATGATGACACTGCAATTGCAGTTATTTCAAGCAGAGCAGTATCAACATAAGAGACTGATAATAAGCCATTGCAGATTATTCTGCATCCTAGAAATCAGGACTCTTTTTAATGCTTGTTACACATATTGCTATATACTGTTCTCACAGCACACTGAGTAACAAAAATTTTCGAGTAGTGTGACCGCAATCACCCTCTTTTCCTTTAAAATTAAAACATAAATTATCCCCCCCATACAGCCAAGACTATTCTGCAAGATTAAACTTCCATCAACTATTGGAGAATTATTTTTTTGTGAAACAGATCATGCTGAATTAAACAGCAATGACAAATCCTAACAGATATTGTAGTATATTAATATTATAATTAGCTAAAACAATCTCATACCCTTCTTCTGTTTTCACCTTCTTCTTGCCTTTGTCGTTTTCTTTTCTCTATAAACAAAACAAAATTTCTGAGCTCCATACAAGAATAATCATTACCAATATTTTTTTTTTAAACAAACAATGAAAATTCAAAGTTAACTAGCAAAGATTCTTATTGAAGCAGATGGCTCATATAGTTCAATAAAAACAAAAGACAAAGCTGGTTGTCTATCATTACGGAGTTTCCCATTAAAATGAATTCATCACGATATCTTGGGTCAAGGCGTAACATTTGGATATCAGCTGGCAAGGCAAAAAAAAACCTCTTACAAATAGTTGGAAAAAGTGTGACATTAAGAAGAAACTTGAGCATTATTGAATCAAAATCTTGCTCAAGTTCTGTGAGGCCCAAAGTATAACCCAAATAGTTTGTCTCCTTACCTGCTACTAAGCTGGAAGTATAACATCACAGTATCAAAGAAACCGTAACCTCTTGTTTAAGGGAGAGACTCTTTCTCCCACCACCCAAAAATACTACTTTAAGTAAATCTAGGTTTTGTTTTTCATAAACTATGAAAGGAGAATGAAAGTATTCCATAACATAATACTGTATCCAGGCTTTAATTTCTAAACTTTTACTCAAGAACCAGAACAGGTTTTAACAAGCTTCAAGAAACACTTCCAATAAAAATTAACATTAAAAAAAAATTAAAAAGCTCTCCAAACCAGCAGATATTTACAACTCTACAGAGCAACATGCTTTGTGTGATGAAACAGAGTTAGTTGAAACAGCCAAAAAATCCTAAAGGAAATGACAGAATTTGGGCAGCTCAATCAGTACACTTACACAAAGAAAGATTAAAATGAGTTTGTTGATGATAAAGACAACGTAAGTGCTAATTATCCTTTACGCCAGATTACACAAGCACCTGCTCAGGTATTAGATCAGTAAAGACTTCAGAGGAGCACCACTTAACTGAACTGTAAAATTATACAGAAATATCTAAAATTCTGATACTGGATAAGTAAAGCTGATACTTTACTTCAAATGTAGTGAGGTCCAGCACTGTTTATGCAGCAACCACGATGCTGTAAGTCTACTGCATTTTGTGCAGTAGACTGCCTCAGTACAGTTTTGAAAACACTGACAAGCTATATGGGTTTTTTTGGTGTGTAATACTTCAGACAAATTCAACGCAACAACATACTGTATCTAGCAGGAAACCTAGGATAGAGGACCTAATTTACCTCTTCTGATTAGCTCTTTTCCTTCATCAATCAAATCAGATGTCATTTCGCTATCCCCCATGAACTGCTGGAATCCCAAAAGATTCAAACAACGAGTTCCTAAACTGGTAAAAGCAGAAGGAGAATCAATTTCCGGTGTTAATTTACAACGAATAGTTTAGATATATTATACTTCAAGATGCAAAACAAATTATTCAGAAATTTATGGAGAATTCAAGTAAAAAAGATATAGAAGACAAGACAGATTATTATACTAGCTGAGAAACCAGACAATTCAGAACAGTGACACATTCCTAAATCCAATTGAAAGTGATGGAATACTCCTACTCAGAGAGATAAAACTGTTTATAGTCTGACTAGTGCAAATTATTTAAGACAATTGTTTGAAATCAGCTGTAACAGAATTTATACCTAATGATATCTCATTGACTCTTCTTTGCCAGAAGACAATTACTATAAAAATTCTGCCTATTATGGTTTTGTAACAGTTATAGTATAGGAAAGCCACCTTCATCTCAGGTTTTACTCAGGAGAAATGTGTGGCATACTTTTAAGCTGTAGGGATGCTGGCTGCCATTCTGGATACCCATTAGGCAGCAGTTAGATGATAAGCTTGCTCCATCTTTTTTAAGCTAGTCATGGAACTAGATAGCATGAAGCCACTTTCACCTTTTCGACTTCACACCAGAAAATACAACTGTTTTTATTATTGTTTTCCTCTCTCCAAACTGGAGCATCAATATAATGTTCAAAGTTGGCTTCACTGTACATTTATGCTGAAAAGCTTTTTTGCTATACTATCTGAACTGCTGGATTAAATAAAACTGCTGGATTAAACAAGGGAGACAGCTTTCCTCAATAGGCTTAAATTAAACATTCAGTTTTGCACATATCTGAATTATTAGAGGGCATTAAAGTTCAAGCAAAGCAACTTCCTCTCCTTTAGTTTCTTTTCTTCCTTTTTACTATGGCATTGAAGACCCAGGATCATCACGCACAGGAAGTCACACAAACTTTTTTCTTGTCATTGGCTTTCCTGTTTGCTTTTTGTAGGTTTTTTTTGTCTCCACCACCACTTTTGCAACCTAACCTGAAGGCAAGCAGGGAAGACCTAGGACTGTATCCTTGTTGTCTTACTATCTATGGATGCACATAGGTTATTAATGGGCATTCAAAGCCATTCTACATTCTACAGGACTGAAAACACATACATTGATTCTGAGTGAATGCTAATGCAAAATTCAAGAATTGAACATAAATGTAGCCAAGCAGTATCAGACCAAAAGTTTCTCATCCCTTACAGTACTCAAGAGCAGACATTTTGAAATACAAGGATAAAGCAAGCATGTCACAGTATTTTCTGCAATTACCCTCCAGCCTCCAAAACATTGTGGCTTAGGGAAACAAGATCAAATGGTTTCAGCCACTATGCTTTCAAACTGAAGTCTGGTAACAGATCAGAAATTTGTTGTGAGTCTGTTAGAAAATTCATTACTTAAAAGTTTCTGCTAATGCTTCTTAGATTATTAGAAAACCTTGCTGAAAACATAGCTTACTCATGGCAATTTTAATCTCAAAAGCAGAATCTAAATGTTTGTGGGCTCCAAAATCTGAACAGATAAGACCTCAAAACCTAGGAATGAAGCTTAATGGGGGAAAAAACCCTACAACTCAGTTATGAGTTAATACAATCGATAATCTTAAAATGTACACATATATGTTTCACATATATAAAATAACAAGTTATTGGTTTAGTTTTTGCATTTTTATTAATTATGTCAAAACTCAACTGCTGGAAGAAAGGAAGTGAATCTCTTCCTGATTGCTGAAACTAGTATTATTAATGTAAAGAAACATGGAGGATCTGCCTTGGAAATCATCTACCTGAAGTATGTGGCAATACAGAGAATGACAACAAGCATTGGGTAATATATATAGAATCCATCTGCAATGAAGGACAGCACTCTCATGGATCCCATTATCTGGAAAAAAAAATCCACAAGAACAAGCTCTGATCAGATATATTTTATGTATATCCATAAAGATTGTGCCATCTCTTTGTTTTCAGTCCACTATACATAAGCACATGATCCTTTACTGTTACTGCAACATAGGTAAGTATTGTCATCACAGATCTGATTCAGACGGTTGACCCAGAATGCCAAGATATAAAGGCTGCCTCTAATGGTGTATCCACTTCCAAGGTTTCTAAGACGCTAGATCTTGTTCTCTCACCTAATCCAGAACCTAGTTCAAATCTGCTGGATCTTTTCATCTGCTGTGAATAAGAGTTTCTGGACAACACTAAGAATCTACTTGCTAACAGCACAGATGTGAGATGCAACTTGCTGTCCTACAGGAAGTGGTTGTTTAGTAAAACCAAACTCACTGGTTTTCATTGGCACGTTAGGTTCACTCCCAATAAAGATGTCCCATATGCTAAAGCCAGTGGAAGCTGAAGCTATTAGGAAGTGCAGAACAGACTGAACTCTTGAGCTTAATACTTTACTTTCTTAGGATAAAGAGACCAAAACAGACAAATTGAGTTATTGATGACTGCTGTGTAGTTAGCAATCATTACCAAAGTCCTGGTCTCTAAGTAAGTATTTCTACATTGTTTAATACTAGTGAAAAGATTTGAATATCTGAATCTATCTATAAGAAGTATTTAAAAATATTTTGCCTATTCTCCAAACCATATAGAAGCCTCAAAACCATATTTTCTGTACTTACAGATGTATAAGCAGTTGGCTGAGTGTTTTTGTGAGAGATTGTTGCATCCATATGGGTCAAGCCCAAAAAGTTCAAGCATAATGGTGGAGTAAGACGGCAAAATAACCTGCACAAATGCAAGAGGTAACAGCATGTAGAACAATTTCTTGCACTAAAAATATTAAGAAATCATAATTGGATGTATCACAGAATCATGATGTACGTACAGATCATTAGGATTTATACACATACAATTATAAAGAAAGAATATAAATAAAAGTTTCATGGACACATTCAATTGAGTATGTGACAGAAATCCATAAAATATAAACCACATACTCACATGCCACTGAAAAGGAGACTGTATGCATCTGTCTGATGATGTGAAGCTAAGTAGTAATAGTTAAATACACGGATCCTGAAGACAGTAGAGTAAACACAGATACTTAGGAAAAAGATGGTAAGAAAACATGCCATCTGGGGGGAAAAAAAAAACCAAGCATTGTTTGAATGTAGACCTCTACTAAAGGTTTTAGTGCATTCAGTGCATAGTCTGTGCACACAAGATGTTGACTGCAGTCTAGTTGTTCATTTTGAGATGGGACAGTAACATCAGCTCTGAGAATAGTTACAGGAGGTTTTTCGACTAATTGAGAATGATACTTGTAGCATTCTGTGTTTCCTATAAGTTAACATAACTGACCCTAGGAACATTTATTCTACTTCTTTTTGTTACGTAAATGAAATTGCTGCAATTGCCTTGGTAATTACTATGACTGATTTGACATTTATTCCTGCAAAAAGTGATAAAACCAAGTGTTTTCAATTCAACCTATTTTGTTAGTATACTGGATTTTTCAGCTCAGTTCCTTTACTGATAAAAGTTTGTGCACACATATGCTAGCTACACCTGTGACTGGATTTCTGGTCAGCAGCAAATTCCTGTTTAGGAAAGAGAGGTCACACACACGGTTGATTAGACACAAAGTCTAAACACCTGAGCTCCAACCTAATGTCTTGCATATGACTCTACACATGATATTCAGCTCAACTGGATCACACCTCCACCTCCACAGAAACAAAGTTTGGTATTATATATTTTAGAGACCTTCTGAAAGTTGACAGATTACAGACTTATCTTTAAATCAATCCGGTCTACCATTATTGTCATAACAATCTATCAAAAAGATTTTTGTTGAGTGATTATCTCAAACTTACCTCTATGTATATATAATTATATGTCTTTTCTGCCAGCTGTATGAAAACTGCAAATAGCGATAAAACTGGTTTTGTGCTGAAAAACGTGCATTCTGACCATACAACAATTACAGAGAATGTGGCCAGAACAACTGCAAGCACCCTGTAAAACCATGGTCGTAGAAGACATTCCCAGTACCACTCTGGAAAAAACAAACACACACATAGACAGAATGGGTTAATGAAAATTACACAACCAGAAATGGAACTTGCTCACAAAAACTGTTATGAACTTCCTGTACACACATCCTTAAAATAAAGACTGGAATCTGTGGGGTCACACACTTAATTCCAGGGCTCTTCCAATGCCTGGAGATCTGGCTCAGCCCTAAGGACATGAACAACTGGAGAAACAGGGTGCGATTTCAGAGGCAAATTTTGAAAACAGATTGGGGTGCAGAGTGTAGAACAGAGCTCTTCACTTTTCGCCCCAATACAATGGGTGATCCACTTTTTGTTTGTTCATCTGTTACTCTCCCAGAAGAAAGCCTAGACTGTAAAATTATATTGTCTGTTAAAACATGCTTATGAGAAGACACTTGCTAAAAAGACGCACAAGCAGCCATGTGTCCTAATGTTTGGTACAGGTCCTTTCCTCTTTGCTTTTCTGGAAGAGTGGTGCCACCTCAATAATATCCCACAAATTTAGAAAGTAGGCATAAATCCAGTAATCCAGTAATTTAAAGTTGCTATTTTTCTTTCTTCTTCTAAGGCTTTGAAGTTTGCTATTGCTATTACAGTGTGTAACTGCTACTGAATTTGTAAAAGTTAAGCTTATGGTCCAGAGCATAAATCAGTACCTGGTGGCTATTCCATTACATAAACGCATTAAGATGCACATTTGCTTACCTCTACTGTAACTGAACTTCTTACATAAAACAATCTGTTCTTCTTACAAAATGGTACCAGTTACTCCTTTACATATTCAAAATCTGCATGACAGCACTTACCAACAGTTGGTGTGTAGAAATATTGAATAATTTTATTCTCTGGTTCCTGGGAATGAAAGGTATGAACAAACTGTCGAGTTGCACTGGTTTCATTTTTTGCCACATCTTCTAGGTAAAATGCTTGTTCTAAAAGAATCTGCCACTGCACCTGTGTACGACGATGTCTCTGTACTGAATAGATTACCTATAATAAATTCCAAGAAATTATAGTTACAACATACTTGTTTCAAGAAATGAGAGAAAAGCTTTGCAAAATCCTTTAAAAATGTCTACATTACAAAACTGCAAAGATTAATTCTGTATACTCACAAAAGCAGTTAATTCTCTAAATATATAAATCATAAGAGGACTATATATACAATTCCTGAGTTTTGCCGTTATTTCATCACAATTCCTGAGTTTTGCCGTTATTTCATCACAATCTATCTGTAGCAATAATAGCCTACTTTTTCCAACATACCGCTTTATTTTTGCGTCCTAGTGAACATCAAGCTTTTACTACAATTTACTTTATAGAATGCACTGTCAATCAACTATTGCAAGGCTTACTCACATACAACTAAAACACTGTCAAGATATAATGCAACAAGAACACCTTTTTCACATCCAGAAATTTGATCTGGACATCACCTGGGATATTAAACTTCTATGTTTTCTTTCACTGAGAAATGTTTCTCTTAAGTAGCAATCCCAAAACCCACTATACTCAGCAATTCAGGTAAAGTACATTGAAAATCTTTGTTTGACTAGCATTTATTCTTATTGCATTAGCATAAGTGAGGCATTCTCTCATTTAGTAATATACCTGCTTGTGAAGTTTCACCAAACTTTTTTCACTTGGATAACTGTTCTGTCTTTCATCAAAATCTTCATAGTCATCCATGTTCCTACCCATTCTTTCCTGGTACTCAGTAGGACACTGGAAGGAAAAGGGGAAATCAACCAGAAGATGAAGGAGCACTCCTTGTTAATTATTTGTAAATATTCCAGGCATTTCAGGCAACTGAAAAGCTCACGCTAAGCGTAGATTTTTCTGTTTCTAAAATACTACGTATGTCAAAACACAGCAGATAATTACATACATCACAAGAAAGCATTTCACAAAGAATTCCCACTCCAAGTCTTGTCAGAAACTCACAAGATGCCAATGAGAGATTTTATGTTAGGGAGAAAAGATAATAATGTACAAGTATTTAGTAAGTGCAGGAAGCACCCCATCACAATTGAACAATTATGGCTGAAGATGAGCAATTTGTTACCTTTTTCAGTATTGTATCAACACATTTTCTCAAAGGGTGGTTATATTTGATACTCTCACTTACTTTACGGACTTCCTGTTGAGGGAAAAAAAAAGTTTCATTATGTTAAATAGATTAAAAAATTTTACAGGGTCAGGTAAGAGTACCAGCCCTCCCAATGGCAAAGATAACCATCAGAGCTTAAAAACAACAGAACTCCCTAAAAGCCACATCTTTACTAGACATCTAATAGAAGATAACTGAAGGGCTATTTATAAAGAACATCTGTATAATTTTAAAAAACCTCACAATGTCATTGTGCCAACATTACTCTATGAATGTGTGAAGGATTAGTTTCTATGTATGAATGTTGAAAAGGAAAATAATTTCTTGTTTTAGCTGTAGGTAAAGAGGAGGAGTTTCCATCTAAACCTCCCCTGGGGGAGGCTTTGAATCATTCCCACACATCCTGTCCCTGGATCCCAGGGAGCAGAGCTGCACACCTCCCTCTCCAGGTGTTTGGACAATGTTCTTAATAGTTTGCTTTAACTTTTGGTCAGCCCTTAAGTGGTCAGGCAGTTGGACTAGATGATCATTGTAGGTCCCTTCCAACTGAAATATTCTATTCTATTCTGTTCTATTCTAAGTGCTAGCCTGGTAAACAAAGTTTCTGTTGCTCATTTTCTAGTAAGTTTTGTAGTTATGTCCCACTCAGATGTTTTTAGCAATTTCTTCAAAATGCTATTACTGAAGAATGAAGACAACTATTATTTTACATTGACATATCACAGAATAAGTTATATCCTACCTTACAACTCTTCAGAAATATTATTTCCAAGCCATGGTATCACAGCAGCAGAACAGGGACTAGCTATTCAATGGGTAGCATTTCAATTCTATTCTTGAACTACATTACAGCCTATTGCTCACTCACAAATAACAATAGTCTCAAAAAAACTCTTTGAAAAAAACAATGATCTATATATTCTCAAAAGGCACGTACCATGGTCCTGCATTGGAAACTCTTCTCAAGATTCCAGAAATATATTGGGAACAGGGCATCTGTACACTATATTTTCAAGTTCACTGTGGAATGTTGCTAATTAGTGACCAATATTACCCCAAAAGGGTCAATAAAAGACTAAAAGCAACAAATAATGGCTATCAAGTTCCCAAGTTCTTCGTATCAGGGACTACTTCTCTTCTGATTTTTACACAGCATTGAATGTCATCAAGTGGCACACTATCATGAGTTTCTTAATTTACTGATATTTCACAGTAAGTTCACGCTACTTACGTTTTCTTGCCGCAAGTGCCCAGCCCAAGGAAATTTTGAGATGATTAACAGCAGCCCTCACTTATTTCATAGCGAAGCTAGTTACCTACCTCCATGATATCCTCTAAATTCTCCTCTGCATCTGCTTTTTCAGTCATCAGTTTGGCAGCTTTGAAATAGGTCTTCATGAGTAGATAACCTCTCTTGGCTCCATTCCAGTGAGAACGGGGAATTTCCACCAAACCATAACCCAAAAGCAACACAAGAAGAAAGAGACCCCATGTGTTTGCAGCAGCTATCCCAATAGTCTGAAGTTGGTTCCTAAAGACAAAAACAATAGCAAAAACAAAAGAGAAAAAACAAACAAACAACTAACATCCTCCTACCCCACCTGCAAAAAATCAACCTTGAAGTATCTATGCACCAATACGGCTTTCAAGTTTATAGGAACAGGCAGCATCATCTGCAATTCTTGCCTAGGGCCAGTCTGCTACTTGGCCATATTTTAAGCTGCCACAATTTTTCTGTATCTCCCCATGTTTCTTCCCTCTCTGGAGAGAAGACAAAAATGTTTGTTCCAAAAGGAGGATGTTCCTTTAGGAAACAACATGAACGTAGCAAATCTATTGAAAGTGAGGTACATGACAGTGATTACTACTGTATCTAGTATGGAAAACCATTAGCTATGTTATGTTAGGTACCAATTGTTTTAACTTACCTTATGGCCTTCAAATAGAATCTACAGTAGTCAGAGATGCTACACAGGAAATACTGACAGACTTTCTAACAGATATTATTCTGAAAACACTGAGAAAGTTTCTGCACTAACTTTGGAAATGCATTTGTAGGGAGAAAAAAAAACCCACTGCAAATATAAGAGCTTAGATTCCTCTGCTGTACATATAAAAATCAGAAAACCAAGACAATTTTCGATAATTTTTTTTCTAAAAAAAAAAAACCCTTTCCATAAAAAAGTTAACAAAACTTTCCAACTGCCTAACAAAAATCAGATAAACTAAAATTCTTTTTTAAAAAAAAGACCCACTTCATCTACAGAAGAGATTACTACTGACAATTTTGTAAGAACTCACGCAAGTGCTTACAACACTATTCTTACCATTGTAAATTGAAGTTTGGGTTTACAGCCACATATATTAAAAATGCTCCAAAAATCAACAAGTAAGTGCCATAATAGATTGCATTCTCAATCAAAGCAGTTTTAATCTTCCCAGTAATGGAGAACCCTCCTGATCTAGCATACGACTGCATGAAAGGTAACAGAATCCTAGGAGGAAAGCAAACAAAACCAAATCACATCAGCCAACGAGAAAAACAAAACCAAATTAGTTTAGCAGTGGCAGGATACTGAGACAGGAGTGTTCAAGCTGAAGACCCTCAAGCTTTGAACAAAATTAGCTAGCTATATGTTTTTATTCTAGGTATACTGGTCTGATGGCAAACCTTAAACAAGCTGCATATAAAAACAATAGTTAGCTTTACTATGAAAAATTTGTGTTAACTGAGAACTCGTTATCAACCCTGACGTTCCTGACCGAGCTACAAAAATAATTATTTGATGATAGGTTGGTCAGAAACCACACATCAGTCTAACCCAAAAGCACAGACAATCTGTTTGCGATAGCTGTATCTATAGCTTTATACTGTATATCCAATAATACCAAATAATTTAGAGTATTACTCAAAAATTACCCAAATTATCCATAGAATTATTTGCTGTCCTGTTGCCTAAACCCAATTCTTTTAGACCATCTATCCATAAACACCTCTGTGTTTAAATTGCTCAGTTTCAGCAATAAAAATGCACAAAGATTAAATGGCTGCCACCTGAAAAGGAGCAAAAAAAAAAGTATGCTCAATTTAGTACAGTAATTATAAGAAAAATACCACTGCTAGCAAATAATATGATTAGATAGCTCTGTGGAATAGTGATATATATTCTTAAAGAGTATGCTATGACTGTTAAGATGTTGCACTTAGAAATTACACCTATATCATAGTCTTTGTCATATTTTTTTGCCTTACTTACCATGTTAAAAACTGCGATGTCCAATATACAACACGCCAGAAAATTGGCATAATTCCATTAGGAATATAACTCCATGGTTTGAAACATTTTTGCTTGCTGTAACAATGTAAAGAAGCTTACTGTTAGTTATAAGGACATTTTCTATAAATTCCCCTATCCAGAAAGGTCCTTGAAAATAGCATAGAAATTATACACTACTATTTGAGTAAGCAGTCAACCATCAACCATCTCAGAAGAAAATAAACTGAATCACCACTTAAGAATATTTATCATTCTCCTCACTGCAAACAACATATCTGGACAAGACAGCTTTCTTAGAGAAAAAAACCAGTAGACTCAAAGACTAAAGTGAAATAAGCAGTTAAGCAATTTAAGGTTACAATTTTTCTTTTGGGGCAGGAAGTACTTTCTTCATGCAAATTAAAATACCCATTTCTGTAGACAGAAGACCATTCAACTTTAGTTAGTGCAGCAGATTTTTAAAGAATATCTAGGGACCCTACCACCTAGCTCTACTACCTAAAGCATTTAGTGATAAAAAACATGTATTAGCTGTTTCTTCTGTCACCGAGCTGGATTTAGTCAGGCTTATATAAACTTTGACTTGTTCAGCCAATCCTTTTCTGACAGGTACCGTTTGCTTCAGAAGACCAGAAAAGTCATGAAAGCCTTTTAGTAAAAAAAAGAGGAAAAGACAAAGTGCCCACCCACACTAAGGCACTTTGGGTTTTTTTCCCACACCTGACTGGGTAATGAAGCAATGGTGAGTCAAGAAGCAATACAGTCAATTTAACAGGAGTATCTATTGAGAAATAATTGGTGTTTTCCCGGGTCAAACTAGTTAAGCCTGAGTTGTGAGTACACAGCCTCAGTATTTTCAAAACTGTCAAATTACCATAGAGTGACAGGTAATGTGATTAAAGGTTTCAAACAAAGTTTTAAGATCTGAGCTGCACCAACACAGTATCTGCTCAATTACTACTTACATTGATATTCCTATTTGACATACTTAAGTCATATACTATAGTGTAACATCCATCAGCATGTTCTGGAACTATAGGTAAATTGAAAAGCTATTGAATAGTTTTCAAATCTTATATTTACCTAACTATGTTCAATTAACGTACACTGGTTGGTCTCAAATAAAGGGTAAAATGTTGTGCCACTAAGCCTGGCATTCTACTGTTCTTCCACAGATATACAACATCCAGATAGCCTCTGCTTTGGGGCAAGAAAACTGATAGTATGTTACATGGATGTATCAACTGATATCTTAAATGCTCTAATCATCTTACAGATAACTACACTGCACACGTCTACAAGCTGTGGAAATAGCCACTGGAGGCTTAAGAATGAGCAGCCACGGGAAGAGGCCACATTCACCTACATTCCCCATGTTTTAGGGATTACTTCCTTCCTGCCAGAAGACAGCGAGCAGGCTATCGTTACTTTGGCAGAATATAGTAAATTTCAGGTAACTCCAATTACCATATATATGCAATTATAATAAGCAATTAGATATGCTGCTTGTATACAAGACAAGCCTCCTAATTTCATTCATAAAGTATAAAATTAGATTTTCAGGTCTGAAGTCTTTAAGACTGTGAAGGGAAGATAAGCATTCACCACGGCCTCTCCTCATAGATAACCAAGGTTGCTTGAAAAGCTTAGTTCTATTGATTTAACAACAAAATAGAAGAAATCTAGCATGAAATTAAAAAAAAAAAAAACCAAACAGGAATATTTAGGTAATCAGTTAGAACTACTGTATAAATTACTACCAATAGATGCAGATGCACTTTTCATCTTTTCCCTCACCCTCCTGTATGCTTACAATCTTCAAATGTTGTATCATACAAGTAACACTTGTTTATTAGTCTTAAAAACACAGTACACTCCTATCATTTAAAAAAAGAAAATCATAAAATAATTCTTTAAACAGACTAATGAAGGAAACATATAGCTGATACCTTGGAGCAAGAGTAACATAAGATCCATTACTTTCTGCAGGGCTGGAGTTAACAGCAAGTTTGCACCGATTATAAATAGTCTAAAAGACAATTAATTTTATATCAGTGACAAGAAGAAGGCACAACATTTATTTAAAAATAGTAAGTTCTATTTTTAAAGACATTTCCTGTACCCCACGTTTACATTTGGGAGTAATTATACTAATAAACCCTTAAGACAACATGCAACCTGTAGGACAAGTAAGTAAAAAACCAAAAGTGTTTTTATGTTGCCGAAACAGATAAAAAATTGCTATAAACAAATAATGAAAGTTTAAACCATCTGAAATAGATTTGTTTCCTGATGAGATCAACAACAAATAAAATCAATTGTAAACACAGACACTGTCATGCAAAAAGGTAACGTGTTTAGTAAGATACTCTTTGGAAAATTTATTTGCCGTTTAAGATATTGGAATCTGAAATTATGATAAAAAAATACGATACACATTTTACAAAACTAAGCAGAAAATCTCCCAAGTTTCTTACCGTACTGACATCCAGAGGCAGTATAAATACAATAAGAAAGCAAAGATACCAAGCCAATAATGTTGCTATGATCACCAGCCTATGCTGTTTATTGAAGTCTCCATATCGATGAAGTAGGAATAAGGCCAGAAAAAAGACAAATACTATCTCAAGGCCCAACGCTGCACCACTCATTATTGAAAGTTCACTCCAGCCACACAGCACAGCTCACTTAGGAAAGCAGATCAGAACTGTAAGACAAAAAGACATTTAATTACATTAAAATCTCTGGAAGACATTTACGCAGAGAGTTGTTTAACAGATATTTTCAAACATATTAATAGACTTTTGATATTTCATTACAAGAACTGCAAACAGATGAAGAACAAGACTTTCAACAAGGTGCTTTGAAGTCCTCTGCAGAAATCAAAACAACGTGTCATTCCAATTTTGTCATTTTTAGGAACGTATCAGGACAACTCCTCTTCATCTTCTTGATATACAATAGATCCAAAAGTCAAATCTCTGCCCTTGAATAAGACTGTAAGCCTAACTTTTAAGTCCAGTATAAATTTCAAAACAAAATCTATTCTGCTCTTTTTTTTCCTTTCAGAAGAAATTGACTAATTTGGACAAAGGGTTAAATGTTTACATTAAACGCTTCTGGAAAGCTTTCTTAATAGACTGTTTCTCAACTATGCATTTAAATTCTGCACTGAGAGTTAACAGAGCATAAAAACACAGCAAAGTAGATGTTAGTCTGCTCGTGATGTACCTCTTTTAGGTTTGAAATTGCATGTAATATGAGGCAACATGCTAGCTAATTCACCTTCCTACCCCTCTTCTGTTCTTCATAGAAACAAAGGTCTCAATTAATTCACTATTAATCTTGTAATGATATATTTTTGCTTTGCTCATCTGTGTTATAGTCAGGACTGATAAAAATGCCTAGAAAGTTCACATATTTTCATACAGGCATGCTATTATGCAAAGAGCCAGTGAGCTCCACAAATCCATTAGAGAAAATTTCACCAACTTGTCACATCATTAGTTAAACTGTTCCTGACCTCTTAAATAAGCACCATTTTATCACAGGCACTTCACATACACACACAAAAGTTTATTACTCTGGTCAGGTTGACTTGCCTCTCCATCAAGATTACCATTTTACCTGATTTGATTTAACTGAATAATAAACTTGCTATTTCTTCCCCACTCTTGTATTTTCAGTGCTTTTACTTTTCACTGGAACTTTAGAGATCTAAAAGAAATGCTACTACTAAAATTTCCCTCAATTTACTTTAAATCCCTTGAAAATTTGTTAAAGTGAACCATTTCCTTTACTAATCTCTCAGTATACTGCTTAAGCAGATCTGTCAGGTATGAGGGTACTAAGTGAAAATTGTCTTATTTCCACTAGAAAATTCCAAAGTTTGTGATGCTGGTGCTTCCTTGAGGACACACAGGACAATTATTCTGTGATTTTTCCCCTAAGATTTATTTGCCCTCATTTTGCTTCTTTCACACTTAATTTCCAAATAGTGAGAGCAATCTGTTTACTCCATATTGGCTATTACACACAAGAGCATCCCATATTCTGAAAATACCTCAAGTTACCTTGCTTCTTTTTATCAAAGATGCACACTCTTTTTATCTTCTGCCTTTCGTCTAACATGTTTCTCACATTATTAGGATTTCTGTTACGTCAAAGCATCCCTTTACTATCTGCCTGTACTACATTTTGGCTAGACCATTTGTAAATCATGAATGCAGGATACCTAACCTATCTGTCAATCACTTATTCAAAGCAAGTCCTTGTCTATTCTATTGTATCATTCTTGTTTCCTCAGAAAACAGTCTTTTGTATTGACAGTATAGTAGCAAATTCCACCACCAAAAAAAAAAAAGAATGGAAAAGAAACACTATATTGACTTTATTAAGGTAATATTACCCGACACATGTAGCTTTGGGTGTCCATTATAGCCACACCTTATGCTACATAAATAAAAAAAAAAATTAGTCGGCATACCTCCATTAGTCATAGCTATGTAACTTTTTATGACAGTCACACCTAAAAAGCTGCTATCAAAACAGGAGGTGAAAAGATTTTGTGCAAGATGCTACATTCAGTTATTACCATGAGGGAACTTGCAAAAGGATTATAAGCATGTACTGAATATGCTAAAATAGAGAGGGAATTGAGTCCTACCACAACTTAACTCCCTTTCAAAGCCCAAAGCAACTTTGCAGTTATCAAAGTAAACTACATTTTTCTGTTCTTCACCTGGTTCCTATTTTAATCTCAAAATACAAAAGGAAAGGCCTAATTTTTACAAGACTGCAACTGATGACAGAGTTGTTTTGCAATAACATATGCACATTTTCAAAATTACAGCTCAAAATTTTTAGATAGACACCACTTAAAACTAGTTCTCAGCACAAATAGCTTAAATGGAAAAATATCCACAAGGTGAGAAATGCAGTGCTTGAGAGGAGCTGTTACAGTGACCTAAATCCTGCCTAACAGGACAGCCCTATTTGAGACCCATGCTACCAGAAGTATTTGTATCAGACCTTAAAATATATTACTGCAGGCTATAAAGCCATGCCTTCTGTGGCAAGTGCATTTGCCTCTGAATCTGGTAAGTTCCTTATCCATAATGCTGTTTCTTCATTTTATTTAGACAGGCTTCTCACTATTAGCACATGGCTCCCTAGTATCAGCAGGCTGAAATTCCTGAACCCCTAAAGAATGTTCTCCTGAGATCAATGAACTACTTCAGAAGAGCTCTCTCATGCTGCACAGCCTTCAGCTACTTAGAAGATGCTCCTATTAAGCAATGACAAAAAGTTACGAAATTCCTCACTCTGAAGGGAAGATCTACTGGCATACTTCATTTCTGGAAAGTAAGGCAGCTACAGATAAACACAAATAAGATCAAAAGCTGAAACACTGGCACTGGAAGTGCAACTTAACCAATAAAAGACAGACATGCTCTTGTGTAGGCTTAGGATTTTCTTGCTTTCTTTCAGAGATAGACAAAATCTGTAAATTTTTAATTTTGTGAATGGAAGAGTTTGGTTACCCCCACAGAGAAAATACATTTCAAAAATCTGACATGAAATCCTCTCGAGTCCAAAACCACCTAATAACTCTGCAAGCACCATAAAGGGCTCAGTTCACACTTAATTCACTTTGAGACTCCCTACTATCAGCAGTTTTAAATTACCTTGCCAACCTCCAGACTAACCATGCTCATGACTATCTACATTACAAATGAACTAACTACTCTGCCTGGTACAGAAATACTCAAGTTACTATGAAATGAAACAGCAAAGAATGAAAAAAACCACACTTCCTTAGACCTTTTATATAGCACCAAATTTAACAATGAAGACACTCCAATATTGCATTCTTAAAGAAGGGCTAAAAAGAGTAGAGCGTATCTGTGAAGAAAGTACCCTGGTCTCACTGAAGTGGACTCCAATACCCCTTTAATCAGAAATCCCAGATCAGATTGTACCACAGTTTTATTCTTTTCAAACTTTGCAGGAAAGCATCTTACCAGCAGATTGTTCATTTTGCAGACTAATGTAATTAACTGGTCCTTCAACCCTTCCCCGTCAGTCCAGTATCACACACTCTGCAGACTTCTCACTGCTGCCCATGACACTCTCCCCAGCTTACCCACTTCCTTCTGCACTGAGCCAGAACCCGCACCGTGTCCCAGCTAATGCCTGAGAAGGCCTGAACATTGCTTCACATGCCTTACTGAAATGTATAGACACAAGTATAACCCACGCGATGTTCCCTCCACGTATGCAGCTTGTTATGCCCTCCAAATTCTTTCCCTCTAAGAAACACAACACCGTTCTCTATCCTGTATTTGTGTAGTTGATTGCTCCTGCTGAGGCACAGGCACAAAACTACTCATTTGTACCCTTTCCCCTAACATGGGCTTCTGAATCTTCAAGGCATTTTGATTTCCGCTACCACATTCAAAAAGGTCTGCAATCCCTCCTAGCTTTGTGCCTTCTTAAGTTCTAATAATCACATTACTTCATTATGGAAACTCTGAGAAAATACCGAAGAGCAGTTGACAAGGGACTGGCCTCCTTAAACACAACCATTTGCTATTCCCCAGCAAAAACATCGTGAGAAACAGAACCAGAAGTCCTACTGAAGACCAAACAGAAGACATCAACAGATCTTCTCATATCCAGTAGGTCTATCAATGAAGTAAGTTAGATTACTTCAACAATTTGTCCTTAGCAAACTGATGCTGTCTTTTACTCAGCTATTATATTCTAGGTGCTTACAAATAATTTTGTTCCAGAATTTTTTTCAGGAATCCGAAAGAAAGCAGACTATTCTGGCAATCTGCAGTTCTCCCTGTCCTTCAAAAATTAGTAGTGAAGTCGGTCACCATGCTTCTGGTTTTCATACCTCTGGTACCTCAGTCATTTTTAGAATACTACATCCTTGTTGTTGTTGTTGTTTCTGAAGTATTCTCAGGCAATGATCATCAAACAGATTTGGAAACGTTACATTTCTAGAAATCTTTGATATTTCAGTTAAAACACTTGGAGAACCAAGAAGCTACTCTGTATTTTAAACACCATAATTACAGCTGAAAATGTCACCAAGAAAGTTACCAAACTATGGAAGAGAGATCAAAGATAGTAATGGGCAAAAATGAGTGAGAGCCACAGCATACCAAAAGAAACATCTGTGCTACAGCATCTCCCACCTCAAGCTGAATTCACAACCCGGCAGCAAGTATAAACTAAAAGCCGCCATCTCCCCCAAAACATTAATGGCCAGTCCAATAGCGACCTTTTGCCTGTCAGGGAATAATCTGCTGGTTCCTATCGAGTTTCTTCCAGCACATTTCACTTGTCAAAAGAAAAACTGTATTCCACAACACCTGTGATAGCTTTCTGAAGCTTGAGCTACCCTGCAAAACTACGCTGTTAAGAATCCTAAAGCAAGGCTTTGCTTTACAGACGTGATTAAACCTTTCAGACTGGTAGAACTTCCCCACACTAACAGCCTTTGTCATTTCATCTTTAAACAGCAAAATGCGCTAACTTCACACTTCAGAAACCTTAAAAAGAGAAGAACAAGAGGTCAAGCAACAAGAAAAATACACCCTTCAGCCATTTTCTTATCCAAATCTGCTTAGTGTCTTGCTGGGGTTTCTTTTTTTGCTTGGTTTTGGGTTTTTGTTGGGGTGGTTTGCTGGTTTTGGTTTTTTTGGTTTTTTTTTTTACTTCCTTATTATACATTGACCCTTACAGCTTGGGGAAACTAAGTATTTATAAGCAGATGACAGACAAAGAGCTGCTTAATCTCAGCACAGTGAGAAAACTATCTAAAGACAGAAAATAGCCATGACCTGCCTGAGAAAACTGACGAGAGAAGTTACATGATTGTGCTATTTAAGAGAAATAACCTCTGCGATGAATAAAGAAAACATAATTTGCATAGCTTTGTTTTTCTAAGAAACACTACTCAGTCTATGTACTGATTGATATTTTATTAGCACCTGTAATTTCAACTATCTTGCAATAAAGGAAAGATCCTAAATTGATTAAACATTTAATTGCTCTAGGGAAACAAGTTTTCTATCTGCTAGTGGCAAGAAAATAAAATGCTGTGTGGACTCCATTCAAAATAGCAGTATTCTCCGATTTGGGGGTAGACTAGGTTCTCCACAGGAGCGCTGAAGAAAAGACAAACACTTTACTAAGGACCATAAAGATTTTTGTGTTCAAAAGCAAGCAGGGACCATCAGTACAAAACCACAGGAAGTTCATTTACTTTACATGGTGCTATCTTGTCCTCTAATAAAGGTTATTAAGTACCACAGAGGCTGATGCTTTCACAGGGTTTAGGGGAATAATCTGGAAATAACACATTGAAGAATACAACCTGCTTGGAGGAACTAAAATAGCATCAGATACAAAAGCTGTACAGTTGCAAGAAGAATCTAAAAAAAGAATAGAAATTGCTACCTGGGTTGCCAGACTAATGCACTCACATAAAACGGCTGTCAGTAAGGCAGTTAATCACATGATTACAACCCTAAGACTGCATTAAGACAAAGTTAGACTACTGGTAATTCAGAGCTTTTTGAAAAACAATTTGATTTTACCCCTTTCAGGAAATTCTCCTTTCAATTTCCCACATATTACTAGAGAAAAGTGAAGTGACTGACAAAAAAAGAGAAGGGGGCTGCTGAACAGGTTGAAGATAAACAGCTTATTTTTTTAAACTGAAAAAAAAATCACTTCTCTTTCGTTTCATTATTCACTTAAATAACCTTTAAACAACTGTTCCATGACTTTAGTTAAAACTGGAAATGGTTAACACAAAATGTTGTTTAAGATTACATGAATGCCAATTTGAGTCACATCATTGTCTGTATCTGACTTAATAGTTGTGTACGATTTGCCATGTGTTCCATTACCACCTCCCATTTTATAGGCACGTCTCTCCATCGTTAGGCAGTAAACAAAGGACCGCATTTACAAGCAAGCGGCTGACTAAGAGAGGAGTTGTAGGTGTGTTCAGAATTAGTTTTCCATCCCCACCAATTTCAAAACAAGTAGTTTGGAGAAAAAGCGTGAAGAGCTGCATTACTGAAAGAAAGCCTGGCATAAATCTGAAAGATGGTGCGAAAAGATTGCAGAGTTTAAACTAGCGCGGTTAGGGACAGGACCAGAATACACCGGCATTCCCGCAGTGTCAGGCCTTCACAGTGAAGGCGTTTCCAACACGCCGGAAAACCTTTCGACGGTAAAAAGTCACTGTCAGCGCGATTCTGGTCTTCCAAACCAGGCGCAGCCGCAGCCCGTTAAAGCCGAGGCTGTGCATCCGCTGCCCTGCAAGGCGCACCGAATTAAGTCTACAGACGCTTAACAAACACCAACGTGCGTGCCTCAGACGTCCGTGCTCGCGGTCCGGGAAGGAAGGAAGGGAAAAATCAGGGGTTAAGAGCAGGAAAACGAATGCGCCGATTCCCCCCGTCCGCCTCGCCCCCCCCCCCACCCCCGGCACCCCTCAGACACAGC